AAATGATTTGAGCCTTTTAAAATCAAGCCTTTGTTTGAATATTAACTATTCCTCAACCTATTATATTAGCTACTATGCTGAACTAACTTACTTATAAAATCTTATTTGTAAGTTTATTGAAAAAATCACCGCAGCCGTTGCCGTTGATTTAGTATAAAATTATAGCAAATTAAGGATGAATACTATATATAATACTTGTGGGAAGAAAAGATATAGTACCTCCGATAATATCGACTACCGCGGGCTACAGAAGTCTAACTACGGCGGCAGACAGATAATGTATCTATTGATATGATCTCTCTTCCCAATTCTTGTGACACACTTTGGTTTCGCATTTTAGAATGGAACACATGCTTCAAGATTCATGATGAAGGCTTTTCATATAACAACAACCAACGAATTACAACAAATTACGACATGTGAATTACGATTATTTATGTTCTATGAAAACCAGCCTTAACCTTGATGAATTTCTCCATCTACCCTTGTTTGCCATTCTATATAATATCATCCTACATGGCGAAATTTGCTTTGTTTTCACCACTTGATAGGATTTGGTTGCACATATACACACTATAAACAGTTTGAGCTTATCGCTTACCTTTTAAAGTTTTGTCTGTCCTTGAAAACGCCCTTTTTGTTTTAAACCATCATCATTTATATAGATTCTGTGATAAAGCCATAATCGGTTACGGCAAGTTAGGTTACTTAGGTATAACACAGCGACTGACTGCATGTACTTCTTGTTAACTATGGATACTTCTCGAATTTGCTTGACTGCACACAAAACAATAGTTTGGAAATGAAGCGATAACAATATTCATAAAGTTATCAAGCACAATAGTAAATGCCATAATACTTCTAATTGTGTAGCTCACAAGGTGATTATTTTTGAATATTAATTATTTGGTTTTTTATACACCCAGTATTGTTTGTTAGCGGGATTTGTTTTCATTACCCGACAACAAATTCGGGAATTTGTTAATAAGCAAGGGTTGCCAGATTAGCTGTAAAAGATAGCTTTTTCTTTGCCAGTTGAACTAATATAATGACTTTTTTTAAGTCAAATATTTTGGAATAGGTGTTATTTTAAATTCAAAAAGCTGATGTTTATGCACCCTATAAATAATTGGGGTTTAGCATGGCACTCAGGCAGGCATTCAAATTACAACAATAGGATAACTACTACGTACACAGGGTGTCCCAAAAACCCTCAAAACTATTGAAATCATCCATAACAATGTCATATAGCTAATAATAATAGTTTTAATGCCTAAGCACCCTGTTGGGACCCACATGCATGTGTTTGACATAAGCTTTTTCATGCATGCATGATGACAGTAAAATTTGTTTGTACCGTATTACCGCAAATAATTTTACTAAAAATATTTAAAATTATATTTGTCATCCATATTTATATAGTGTAAATATTGTTATTAAAAATTAAATTTTCCTGGCAAATTTTAATTTTTTGTATTTAACATTTTATAAGTTGCGAAAAAGTAGGCATTCACATTTTAGCAATAGATGATTTCATGTTTTTTTGGGATCCTGTAGTGTAATTTTTTTGGGGAAATCTTATATGCAGGGTGTATTTCATAAAAAGGCAAGACTAAATATTCGTAATATTAGTTTTCTTTTCAATAACAAAATATCGTAGGCCCCTGGGAATACATTGAGGTTACGTTTTTATACACCCTGCATGCACGTAGAGGACAGAAAATGGGTGCAAAAATGCCGCCATATGATCACTAGACCATCTGACTCCCGTTATGCACGGAACCATGTAAAATTTAAATCGGTCTGAAATTCGCCTGTCACGTTTCGTCCTAGCTTCAATTTATAAATATTCACAGAACGGAACGAAATTCACATGTTCATGATATCATGCAGTTTAAGCTTAAGTTGTTTTAGGCTTAAGCTTAAGGTATTTCTGTCCTCGGGACGTCTTCATTTGACAAATCATGTTATAGGGCGGTTAAAGCAATCATGCTGTCATACTTTTGTCACCTAGGGCCAAAACTAGCGCGATAATTTGCCCCGATAATTTGAAAACGCGCATACGTATACAAAATCCGCCGGCCAGAACGGATCTCTATTCCCCCCCCCCTCCAATTATCGCATCTATATACAGGGTGTCCCCAAAAAAGTCCCCTCTATTGAAATCAAGCCCAATTGAAAGCAAGACGCTTTATTTAAAGCCTTAACGTAACAACTATGCTATTTACATACTACCACGTTGATCTGCATGATGCATTCAAATTCAAACAAAAGCTTTATTTCAATATAGAGGGGACACCCTGTATAACTTCGAGATCTCAGCCATGCCTATATATATATAAGGCTGTATATATCTGCATGATCTCCACCGTAAAGTGCGTGTACAAAGAGAACTTTGAACTGAAATGGATACTTATCGTAAAACCCTTCATTAGATAAAGAAAGAAAGAAACAGAAAGCACATTCCATTGATATCAAGATGACAGGGGGATGTTTCCGGACCGACCATTTATATGATTTTAACAAAATATTTTTAACTCTCGGATATCAATTAAAGTTTTCCAGGTAATTAAGTCTTTCTCTAATTTCTCTAACATAGAATTTCTCTAATATACGTTGTAGATTTACGACCAAACTAATACATTTTTAAATTTAAATCAAATAGAAACATTGAGTTTTGGCCGTCTTAAATAATTCTCATTTCCCTGCTTTTCGTTACAATTAGCAATGTGCCCTAACATTATACAAGATGAACCGTGAACGGTGCCTTTTAACTACAAAATTTACGATCACTTTATTTTAACCGGACAATTAACGATAATGGGTCACTTACCGCGCAAATGAGCATTCTTGCTTCTTGGACTTGAGTGTGTGAGAATTTAAAGCACTTGCGGTGAGAATTTAAAGTGGATTACCCATGCCTTACATTTCATATATAAAATATCATTTCGATTCATGCAAGAGTTATAAATTGTTTTAAACACTCCACGTGTGCATCATTCATGGACTTTTATCACGTTTCCACAAAAATCAAGTTAGGTCCGTTTCAAAAGTCGAACTTTTCATGTGCATCACGAACCTAATGCTAATGAGCTAAATTCTTTGTTTAATTACGTTGATTTGCCAGCCTCGTACCCAGGCGCTTTAATAGTAAAAAATAACCTTGCATTCAGTTATTTTAAGAGGTCAGCTGAAAAAAGGCGAGCGCGCAGGGGTTAAAACGGGCTTTAAGCCGGTCGGTCGAACGAAAATTTTCTCTCGATTTTCTTTTCCATTGTGAGAATTCGACCGTAGCGGATTCCCTTCACCGATCACAATTTAAAAGAAAATCGATCCAAAATTTCACCTAGTGAAAGACCGACTTGATACATCTCTCTAGCTGGTTATTAGAAGAAATATTCTGTACTTGATAGGTACACCACAAATAAAGTGATAAACTGATTGATGCGCCTGTTTTTTATGTTAAAGAGTTTTATTAAAATATAGCGGGCTTAATAAGCGTACCACCAGTCTGATTGGAGTGCGGAACCCTAACTCTTTAAGTATATATATTTAAATTTTTATGGTTAGTGATGAGAGCACTGCTCTGGAATAGCAGGGACTAGTGATGCAGGTACATCAATTTCTGTTCTGGAATCGCAGAGACTATAGTGATGGAGGTACTTCAATTTCTGCTCTGGAATCGCAGACTAGTGATGCAGATACTTCAATTTCTGCTCTGGAATCGCAGAGACTATATTGATGCAGGTACTTCAATTTCTGCTCTGGAATCGCAGAGACTATAGTGATGCAGATACTTCAATTTCTGCTCTGGATTCGCAGAGACTAGTGATGCAGGTACTTCAATTTCTGCTCTGGAATCGCAGAGACTATAGTGATGCAGGTACTTCAATTTCTGCTCTGGAATCGCAGAGACTATAGTGATGCAGTTACTTCAATTTCCGCTCTGGAATCGCAGAGACTATAGTGATGCAGGTACTTCAATTTCTGCTCTGGAATCGCAGAGACTAGTGATGCAGATACTTCAATTTCTGCTCTGGATCGCAGAGACTATAGTGATGCAGATACTTCAATTTCTGCTCTGGATCGCAGAGACTATAGTGATGCAGGTACTTCAATTTCTGCTCTGGAATCGCAGAGACTATAGTGATGCAGTTACTTCAATTTCCGCTCTGGAATCGCAGAGACTATAGTGATGCAGGTACTTCAATTTCTGCTCTGGAATCGCAGAGACTATAGTGATGCAGGTACTTCAATTTCTGCTCTGGAATCGCAGACTATAGTGATGCAGGTACTTCAATTTCTGCTTTGGAATCACAGAGACTATAGAGTTGCAGGTACTTCAATTTCTTCTTTAGAGGATTGCGCAATTGTATTTCAGTCCATTCCTCTAACTAGCACTTTCAATTTCACAGTTTAATTCTTCGTTCTCTTAATAAAACATCCACGAGTAATTCAGTTGAAAAACGAAGGAGAAGTATAGAAAACGGTAAAATTGAATGAATTACACGATTTCAACACGAGGGATAAATTAATAAGTGATAACATAACAAAATCGTCGCGCATTTTTACCCCCTGTCCACCCCAGAGAAAAGGAGGAACTGACAATTACAAGCAGATAGCAAGCTAAGTGGGAGGCGCTTATACGCATGGCATACATATAAATGAGGCATACAAATAAAATGAAATAATTAATATACAATTCTTCATTTCAACACACGTCAAAAGCCTGCAACAAACGCCGTTGCTTTTCATCGCCGAACGCACTAAACAAATAATCAGTTGAAACACCTCATTATCATCCATGGTTGTTACAACCCCTTGCCCAGGTTGTCATCAGGCATTCGAGGAAATGACTACCTATTGAGCTCTTGCAAGTGAGGCCATATATAAGCATAGAATGCCAATGACATTGTGACATGTTGTTAACAAATTTTGACTCTTGTCAATCAAGATGGCGACCAGTTTAACATAAAATAAAACCAAAATCACACAAAGGGTATAGAAAAATATTCCTTTCTTCAGGATTAACATTATATTATATTATAAACAAGCTCGTTGAAAATTCTGCCATTAATTCCACTCCTAGCTACAAAATAATATTCCGTCTATTTTAAAAACTACATTATAGATAATTGTTTTTACATGGTGGTCAACTTTGTCTAAAAAAACAGGAGCAAGCCAATGATAGAAGCTCACATTTACTTGCTACCGGTTAAAAGGTCACCCAAATTAACGTGCAATAAAGAATGCACTTGCTTTGATAACTTAGTCTCTTTACAGTTGACTACCATGCACTGTAAAGTCACTCAGTTGCAGTTTAAAACCACCTTTTTAGGAGAATGTAACTGAAAGTTCAAGTGAATTTCTAAGTTGTAACAGGGCTCGAAATAACGGCCCTATCCTAAAACAGCCAAAACAAACCGTGTATTATTCGAGGAATTTTGACCATTTGGAAGAAGGCAAAAGAATAAATGACTACATTTCCATGCTCAGTATACGGAAATTATTAAATTGAGAAACTTTTAGACATTTCTGACGGTTTCTGATTTTCAGACCATATTCTCGTTTTACTTTGAACCATTCTTATTGAACGGACCAGACAGCCAAGAAGAACTTCTATCTATGGCTGTCACCGTGTACAATTGCAACAACTTAGCTTCCAAGCAAATGAGAACTCTCAAACACACTAGAGATTCCTTCTTTTCCAATAGGCGGAATTTTGAGTTTTACTTCACTATAATTTTATTTCATTTTACTTCACTTTTTATTTCACTATACGCACAAAATTCCGCATAGTGGAAAAAAGGTTCTAATTCCATAAATACTTGTCGGTCAAACGTCACGCGCATGTGCGAGATTCGAGGAAAGGGTGGGAAACTTATACGTGATTTGTATACAAAAATTGAACAAAAACACAAAAAATGAGAAAACTATTGAACAAGTAAGCAAGTAAATTTGTGAGAATCTTCCTGAGTTGAAAGAAAGTTTACTGAGCCCTGTGATTTCCTTAGACCATACTTTTCTTTGTTGATATGAAATCAGTGTACGAAAAGACCACGCATGCGCAGACGTTTAACAGCGGTGCTTCTTCACATTGGAAATCTATAGCCTCTGAGGCTGGTTGTTTACATTTTAACCTACTGTCTTTGTTCGCGTATTTTTGCATTGCCATGGAATAATATACTTTGAAATATCTCATTTATAAAACTTTAAAAGAATTCTGAAAAATTTGATTTGCATTGATTAAAAGTATTGCACTATGAACAACTGGCCCAGAATGTAGCCGGATTCTCGAACTATAAGTTATCGGGTTATGTAGCAAATTTTGTGTGAATCAGCTGCAGTAAAGTCGAGTTTCTCAAAAGTTGAGTTTGGGCAAAACGTTCTTAATAGAAAAATTCAAAGATGGGACCCATTGCAATGATCCTCGTAACAATTTAGAAAACACTATTGGCTTGCTAAAATTTGTCGCAAAAATTACAAGTTTTGAAGTAAAATAAGTTTGTCTGAATATCCCAACCCCCATTTGCACCAAAACGTGATAAAAGATACACGATTTGTCGTATCAAACTATCGCGATTGCTTAAAAACAGCAACATTCAGTCATAGGCACCAACGGCTTCGCTGGTAAACTCCGGTCAAATACAAAATCATATAAAAATATGCAATCTATCATTAGCCGTGTTCAGTTAGCCAGAACCGGGACACGGCTTCTCACATCGTGTCAATATATATACTTTACAAAATCATCACTTAATCTGTAGACTCTTAACCTGCTGGACAACGCGAAGAAGTGCTTCCTTTTCTTTTTCTAAAGTTTCCACTTCCTGAAAGAAGAAAAAGGTATATTCTAGATTTAATCTAGTGTTTTTCTTCATGTTTTTTTGGCCATATTTGCATTGCCTGTGCGAGGAATTTTGCGAGGGCGCCGGAACCACGGGGGCAGCTGCCCCCACTGCCTTTTGCTTACGGGGGCCAGCGGAGGCGGCCATGTTTCTTTAATTACCATATAATAGTACCATACATTCACCATTTGATCTTGATTTTCCGTATGCGCACGTAAAAGTTTAAAATCATTTAAATGATACGTATGAAATCAACGATTGAATAGACGTATAGGGTTAAGTTCTGTTGATGATTTCATGTGTTTTGAAGATGTATGCACTCCGGCACGGCATTCTGTGAGTAGTAGACAAAATTATTGCTGGAAAATCGCAAAATCCAGGTAGGTTTCTCCGGCTTTCTGTATGTGCTACATTCACAGATGTGTGTTCACATGATAGATGGCCACACAGGCCAACACTAAGGAGTAATGATTTGGGGGACCACCTGAAATGGATGGGTTTTGCACGGCTGATTGTCGTATCACGACATGGCTGACTGAGTGATCCACTTATATAAGGTTGTACTGCATATATAAACAGAACAACGAAACTCCGAAAATGAACATCAGATTTCTGAAGATGACTAAATCATACTCGAAAGCAAGTCAATATATTGTTAAAATGCTCATTTTCAGAGTTACCGTTGTTTTGTATTTCATTAAAAAACTCAGTGGTTCCAGTTAATACATAAACAACTCGCTCGGCAGCAGCTTGTAGCTAGATCTGATCTGTCAACGTCGAGATCCGTCAAGTTTTGTTGAACAATCAAAAATGATCACTAACTATATCATAATCTACTATGAGTTTCTCGTCCCACGACCAGATCTCCTACCTTCGTTTTTTGTTCCAAGGCTTTTTCTAGTTTTTCTATTCTATCTAATAAATCTTGTTTTTCCTGGCGATCTACATCAACCTGTTAAGGGAAAAGAAAAGTTAATTTTTTCAAACTTCACGTACAGCGGGTAGAGCAATACATATCCCACAGCATCCATCACACTTACTCAAATTTAGGTGGCAGGAGTCATTTCTAGTAGGGAGGTGCTAAGGTCAGCCCCCTTGGCCTAAACTCAGTTCCTTTGGTCACTAAAGTCCAAACTATGTACAGAGAGTTTATTACTTTAAGCAATTATATAATTTCATGTGGGATAATACTTACATCATCACGTGCTAGTCTACTAGACCTAAAAGAAATATTAAAAAAATTCTTAGTTAGGAAAAACATTTAGGCACAATATATCTTAAGGGCATTCTAGAGTTTTGAACCCTAAAAATCTTTGGAATCTTACAAATCATTTCTACAACCTGGGAAAGTAAAAGCTCAATTACATTTAATGGCACACACACAGGCCAGCTCCAAACTGATGTATCTTTCTGATAAAATGCAGAGATCAGGATGCTAGACAAGAACTAATTTCATATTGTCCTTACCTGCTGGGTGTTGATGATGTTGAAACCTATAAAGAGTCAAATGTCATTAGAAAAATTGATAGACTGTTTTATTATCAACAATTTGAAGCAACAGCTATGGAGGGGGGGGGGGGAACAAGTAACTGAGGTGTTTAAATTGTTTATAAAGATTGGTGTTTGGCTGTTATGTTGATTGAATAATGCAATACTACCTCACTAGGGCTTGGCGAGTACTCTTCAGTTCCAATACTTTCATTCATCTTTGTGTTTTCCATTGTTTGTTTAGCCTCATCAGCTTGCTCGTCATTCTAAATTACACAATAATTGTTATTTACACTCGTTATTTGGCACCCAGTTACTTTCACTGCCATTTTCAATGCCCTTTTTTATGTTTTCTTTAATTACTTTGACACCTAGTTTACAAGGGCCAATGAAATTATTTTCAAATATTTTGAATTAGCTCTAACTTTTGTTGTAAATTAATTGTGTTTAGATCTATTTCTGCTGGAAAAGACAAATGAAAATGCTTAAGAGCATGTGACACTCAAAGGGCCACAAGTGTTATACACACTATTATTTAAGCATTTTCAACATGGCAGCAAATATAGTGCAATTAACTGACCAGCAATCTCCACAATTTGCAAATTCATTAAGTCACATAACCCATCACTTCAGTTGCACACTTGAAGTGGTTATTTTTATGGAAGGCAGAAATAATTCAGGGTAACAAAAGGTATGAAAGCAGTTTTTTGTTTGTGTATTTTAACATAACAAAATTACCTATTATATTATTATTGGGTTCTTTACAATACAATTTAAATTATTTCCCCATCCATTCTCTATTATTAGGATGGATTGTCCCAGTTCAATCCTATGCCCCATCTCATGTTATAGGGTAGTCAAGCCTTTCAAGGTATAATGAACTGATACTAAACAGATTAGATAGATTAGGATTTACATTATTGTAGTATATATAGCTTATAAACCAATCTACCAAAGGTTGATAAGCACAAAATAGAATTTTTATAAACATTTTAGAAGCAATTTATAAGATTTTAACTATATCAATGCAAAACGGTTATAAGATTTTAACTATATCAATGCAAAACTTGAATAAGTGGTTAAATTCCACCAGGTAATGACTAAAATTGGAAAGGATTAGGCTACTATGATGGCAAAATTCCAACATTTTGCCTTTTAAGTGGGCCACTACCGATCTCTGTTGTCACTGTCAAAAGTTACACAATGCTCATTATCTTGCAATATTTTATTTCTGAACCACCCAAAATTAAGGCATAATTGCAATCCTAACAAAGAGATCTTATAAAGTCTGAGGTCTTTTAAGATTTTAAAGAAATGAAATGTTATAATTTCTAAAACATACTTCAGTCTATGAAGTAGAATTTTTTACAGTTTGTTTATTTCAAAGAAAAGTACCTAAACTACAACTAAATATCCCAATAAGCAAACTTGCTTGATAATATTACTTGAAAAATTGAAAATCATATTACATCCTGTATTGGCTCTTAAAATATGGCTAGGCTTCAAAAAGAGAAAGCTGTTTCTTCTTATAAGGAAACAGGATATAGTTTATGGGTAGGAGCAAAGGATATTCAAAACATTACATGTGTATTGTTAATTTATAATGCTTTAAAAAAATAACATTACAGGTTAGAAGAATTTAGATCATTCACATATTCTTATGAACAGGCCTGTGTTGCTATGCCAACACAATACTAAAAGTCATTAAATTTATTTTCATTTTACTAATTATAAAATTAGAACACAGAAAACCTTCAATGTAACAAACTAAATGGCAGTTGTGAAACAAATTAATGCTATAAAATGTTCAAAAGAGTAACATTATATATTTGTTCATGCTTTCAGCAAATATTTACATTCTTGTACAGTTTTGACATTATATGCAAATTATGCACGACTTTGCATAATGATTGCCACAATCAATCAATAAAGTAAACAAAGATGGCCATAACAAGATTGTATGATTCTCGATCAAAATTCAATTTGCCAATACAAGTTAAGATCTAATGGCAGGCAACCTAAGCTGTATTTAGAGGGAATATAGAAGTTTAATTAAACGAAGAATGCAGATTTGAAAACGTGCTCGTAAAACGAAATCACATGCTAAATTACAGTTAACAACGGTGTTTTACAATGTAAAATTGCTTAATCGAGCTTATAAATGATTGGAAATTGCTTTGAAATATCTCACAAACATATTGTGCGCGATTTAGGTATTAGCATGTAGAAAGTGAACCATTTAGAGGTTTTACTACAACTAGTACAAGGCTGAGTTCTATAGTAGATAATAAGTGCTCTAAATCGTATTAACTTTATAAAAATGCTGATATCAATGCTTGATCAAGATATAATTGTACGTAGTGGGGACAACTAATTCCCTCAAATGAATAGCTTTCGTTTAGCCAACGTGTTCCGCTTTGTCATACTTTGTAGAATCTAGCCAAATGGGGTAAAAATTGTAGCTAAATATGTATGTAATCGAATGTGCTTCAATATCGAACTTGAACTAAATTTAACGCTATAATTAATAAAATATATCACATATAACAAACTAATACAAAGTGACCAATTTATCACAGGCTTCGATTTATATGTAAACAACCCGAATGTATACCAATTGAACATAAGAGATGTTACAATATACTGAAATTTACGAAATTAATCTTTGGTTTTGTAACACAAACAAACTTTACTTACACCTAACCCAGGCATTATAACGACACCGGTGGACCGCCGCTTTTCTCTTAAATTTTTCCGATCTTTTCGTTTTTTACCCGAGGGTTTCTCCTTCTTTGAGCTCTTAGGTTTTTCAGCCTGTGCCGTTGCACCTTCAACTTGTAATTCTTCGCTATTTCGCGGAGACTCGTCTGCAATTTGATCCCTACTCCGTCTTGTTCGACTTCGCCGCGCAGTCGTGTTTTCGTTCGCGTTTTCTGTCTTCGACATGTCTGTGTCTTCGAACGCTAAGGCTGTATTGCCCTGTATATAAGCTGCAGTGTCTGTTAAATTATTTTCTTTGTCGTATAAACAGCCCGCTGCTGCCTCTACTTTATATTTTTTTGGTGTCGAATAATTGTCGTTGGTCATCATTTTGGCTACGAATCACTTCAATATAACTTCAATACATACAATTTAATCGTAGTTCCTGCCTAGGGTAACTGTCAAACGTCGAAGAATAATGTCCAAGGACTGTTCTACTTCAAAGTTGAACTTCCTTTTGTTAAAAACAAGCGGGAAAGCGCTTAAATTTCACCCAAACAGCCTTACAAAGTCCGACATTATAGTACTTTCTCCACAATACAAAAATATCCCCCATATACCCACACATCTAACGAGCATTCTTATTGGCTAATAGTCGGGTTGTATTTAGCACACGAGGTGGGAGCTTTTACATTCTCTTAGCCAATCATAACCCAGGAGTCTGAGTGACAGACGGGTAAATTAAAAGTGACAATTATGGCCATTGACTGTACACGAAAATTGATCTCAACATTGGTCTGTATGTTTCAATGTTTTTATACTTTGAAATAAGAAGGGATTAATGCCACCAAATATGCAAATTTATAGCATATCTTGATCTACAAAATCGAACTTCAATTACGGTATAACTCTCCCAAAATCCGTGCAAGATAAACATGTTTTCAAACTAACCCTAATCCCAGACAATTCTCCATAGAATACATTCCGAAGTTAACCCCAAATTAACATTAACAGTATGCTCGTATCGTATTTCGTATGTACACTTAAAATTCACTAGATAGAGTTAATTTTTTACTAATGCTCGCAAATTTGTTAATGCGCAAATTTGTTAAATTATCATATTATACAACCTTCCTTCTTTGACTCTGAAAATTGAACATATGGAATAAAAATGCGGGTTCTATGTTAATTTCAATACAAAATGTGGACAATTCAAGCTTAAAATAAATTAACAAAGCTTCAAACTTTGAACAGTCACTTTTCGACCCATTATTCGTAATTTCTACAGATAGGTAGCGTCGAATATATATGAGGAATATTGTACTTAATGAGAAATTAAACCATCATTTACTGCACATTGTACAATGTACAGTTTCAAGACAAAGAACAGACAATTATCGTAATATATATATAATCGATTTATCGCAGAGATTCCGTTGTGCCTTTCAGACATTCCTTCGTTAGTTTTCTTTTAAGTACTTTATCACAGCCATAGGAGTTAATATAAGCAAGAAACAGCGAAAGAAGGTTTTGTTTACAAACAAACGTCAAAACCAGACACCCTGCAAAAATTAGCATAAACTAGAACATTCTGAACTAACAAATAGTTTATTTTTTCCATAATCTGTTTCTAACCAAAAACTATTGCCTTTGAAAACTGTGCACTTATTACGAAAACCGCTTCGTAATTAGAGAAATATTTGCTTGGCTTACACAGATTTTTTGCTCAGATAAGCTTTCTAAGTCTATCAAAACAACGTTTCGTTGAACACGGCACAGTTTGAGGTATCACGTATATCTATTATTTTATACGTTTGTTAGCAAGCTTGCGCATATATTTTGCTAGAAACATTTTGTGTTTTGGTGTTGTGTCCACCGTTTAGGGATAGCGTGTCGGCGCTAAGCATACAGGAAATTGCATTAACACCAAATGTTTGTATATAAATTTATAAGTTCATTGTTAAGTTAAAGTGTTTAATAACACCAATATTTATTCGTCAATGACTGTCGCACTTTGCTACATAAATAATCACAGAAAATATTTTGCCCAAAATTAACCGAACCAAATTGTTCGGCCAGTTTCATTCTAAAATTGATCCGCATCCGAATTATGAAGCACAAGGGCATGGAAATTATGCCGGCATTTGAAAATATTTTTGAAACAGTTATAAAACCGCATTCTAAGACGAAGAGCCATGCCGCAATGCATGTTGTTTGTACTCTTATATACTCAAACGCTTAAATACACTAAACGTTTGAAGGCGTAGTTCAATGGTGAGATGACCATAAGACTAAGCCTCTAACCATAATGATTATACACATTTATATTTATACTTATATATGTAAAATTATATATAGACATATATCACTAAGCGATTTCTTCGTAAATCCTGAGGTAAAATATAAATAACAAGACGCCTGTTCTGGCGTTAACTCCGGCGCACGTGCCAGTCTTCAATATAGAGCTTCTGAACATAAACAATACAGTTCATATTCGCATTTAGATGCCTTGCGAACCTAAATGTTCGATCGCGAAATTCAGAAGCACATCGTACTTTAAAAAGTATAGAAGTTAAATCGTTCAAGAATGTAAATAAACGGTATGATACATTCGCTTTGTCTTACACTTTGCCTTTGGAATTCGCGCTTATATAGTTATATTAAATCTTCAATCCTGTGCAAACTACGACGAGTCAAAGCGCCCATACACGACCACATCATCTTGTTAAACGGCGAAATAGCAGCGATATTACTAAAATAGGACCAGAATCTACACGTATTAAATATATTCTTACCCCAATTCAGTCTAAACTTAATCGAAAAGCATGAAAAGAACGGTTTATTTGTTCCTCTTGGAGGAATTGCCGTATCATGCGAGCGAAATCGAATCGCGCATCGGAAAATTAGCCAAAGCTGTGCACCACAACTCTTGGGAGACAAGACTGGGACATAGATAAATCCAATCACATACACATTTTAAATACTAGAATGTTTCGCGCCATTACAGACTTGCGACGACGAAAAATAATAAAAAAAAAAATAATAAAAAAAAAAACAAAAACAAAACAAAACCGAGGCGAATTTTCAACTCCGTCGCTGACGCCGGAGTAATTATAGCTATGCAAATAAATACATCAAACCTTTATTAATATACCGCGTAAATTTAACAGTAACATAGCAAGTCTTGGATGCAAATATTTTAAAATTTTATGGGGAAAAACACGCAATGCAACGCACAGATATTTAGTGTTGGTAGGCGACTGAGTTAAGCAGCATTAACAAGCTTACGAATTATAGAAAACAGGTAAACAGATGGCCTACAATAGTCAATGATTTCACTTAGCGCTGTCGTTGAGCAGATGGTAGTCAACAGTTATCAAATTGAAAAAAAGGAAAATCTTTTTGTTGTATATTGTGGTTTTGTATTTGCTGGCAAAAAGGAAGATTTAAGCGACATAAATATATCGTCTCATATAAATGTGTCAACTTTTCCGCAACTCACCTATGCATTAAGGGTATCTAGAATATCACAAATCATACCTGTCCTCCGCTTGAAAGAATAACGACTCCAGTGCCATGCCGTCGTTCTCTTAAATGCCTTTTCTCTTTGCGCTTGCGGCCTGACTCACTGGGAGATTTCTTTGACTTTGAGGGCTTTTCATCTCTGGGACCTTCGACAGCGTTGCTGCGCACAGGTTCACTTGAGGTTGTGGTAGTGCTACGGCTAGTCAAACTCCACTCAGCCCGACTTGCTCCACCACTCGCTCCAAAAGCTGGCCTGAGAGAGGACACACCAACAGTTCTATACTGTGTCCGAGTACTTCTCAATCCACTGGCCATTCTTTGCTCAAAACCTCTCCCGTTTATATGTTGGCCGTTGTGAGCTGATAAAACTCTAAGCCAATTCTGTGCTTATCTAATGCTGGGCTAACAATCTGACAGTGAGCTTATGTGACATACGCAGAGAATAAACATGTCTCGAGCACTTCTGGCACGTTCGCTTAGAGGTCAACGCTAATTTACATCATTCAAAAGAAGCGTGCTCTCTCCTGCTGGGTTACATAATATCCGCTTTAGTTTGGTCACGCATAGGGACTTCAGTTGCATTGGAAGAAAGACCGAGAACTGCATGTATCAGCCAACCAGCACAAATAAGTAGCTTTAATGGTTTTAATTTCCTCATCCTAACTGATAGTATATCAATGACTTTAGTTAAGTTTCCGATGTAACCCACTTTCATCGAAAATATCAGAACCGTAAGTTAGAGCCAACGAGCCAATCTGTTAATTAAATAGCATCCTTATTGAGGGATCATCTTCAATGATGAATATGGAAATTTTTATCCAGACATAGTAAACACTACCTCTACTGAAACATTGCTGGTCATTTGTTATTGGTTTAAATGGTTTTGTAAATATCCCGTTATAAAAATGATAGTTTACGAGGATGAACATTAACTGTTTTTCGTGCGAAATGACCTTGGCACTAGGATAGCGGAATGGCGGCAACGCGGATGTAACCCAGCATGGCCCTGTAACCCAGGTTCCGTTCGCGTAATTTTAACCAGCCAGTGACCAGTTTATTCTAGGAATAAATAAAGTTGATGCACACAAATGATGTTAGACGTGAAGTATTTATGAGAGCATTTCCCTATAACAACACAATAAATATAGCTATAATATCTAAATTCAATGTCAACATCTCTAAAGTTTCCTCTGTTAATACGGCTACAAATTCCAGCTGACCTGAGTATAAAAATCAATGACTTCGACACTCAATTTCAAGTAACTCTATACTTTATTTTTATCCGAAACACTTTATATTTCTCCAACTGTAAATTAGAGTGTAAATTTTCTATAATATTAGTCAGAAGAACGGGGGCAAATAACACCAGGCACAAAATAACTCAATTTTGGTGGAGACGCCTTATGCCTTATGATTTCAGATCAGCTGGTTGTTAATGGGAAATTCAGAAATATACCTCCATTGCTAGTTTTGTCCATTGTAGTTTGCGAAAGCATATATAATAGTTTCTATAGCGATATTTAATCGACAGCTATCATTGCTCTAATCCGATAGCGAAAACATAAACAGGGTTATTGTTACCAACATGTCGTTAAACGACGAACTGAGAGTTCAACAAGTCTTAAACATCTCAATGTTGACACAGCTTGTAATACGTTGGGTGAATTGCAGAATAGTTTAACATTCTATCTATATGCCGAAGTTTAACATTCTATCTATATGCCAACATTCATCCAGAAACTTCGCAAAGCTCAGCGGCAACTTAGTCCTCAGGTTCAGACCCCAGCAGCACTTGCGGTGGTGGTGGTACGCTGTCACTACCAGATACGGCCGCGAGGGCTGCCGGTTCGTCAACCGCGCCAATAACATTCGTCCCGACTTTGGTTTTTACACACTGAAAATCAACGTGGCGGCTTTTGCTCCCCTCTTTTTCCCAAGACATATGAATAAACGGTCTCTGTACATAGTTGTAGATTACTAGGAACACAGAAATCAAATAATATTGTTTTGTTTCTTTTAACTATTCATTGGTTATGTTAAGGTCTGCTCACACGATCCAATTTTGTTGGATCCAATTTACTTCTGATGGATGTTTTATAGTCTGTTGTCTTGTAATGTATATCAGCAGCAAATCCACTTAAGCCAATGACTACGGCTTCATCAATAACCGACTATATTTCATACGTCAGAAGTGAATTGGATTCAACAAAATCGGATCGTGCGAACTAAATATCACCGAAAAATAACATACTGTAGTTAGGTTCACTACGTTGTACGCGCTGACCTACATATGTATTAAGTGTAGTGAGCGAAAGACGTCAGAGGTCGATTTCTCTGCCAATTTGTCTCCAGAGAAGACGTTGACAAAAATTTCACGAATGTGCACGGAATTGTTAAAAAATACCAAAAAAAACTCGCTCACAAATAAAAACGTTTGGTATGCAGTAAATTCATCGACACTAGAACTGTATGACGTGGATAAAACGATCAGTCTATACAGCATGGGTCAGCAGTGGTACGGCAAAGTTCGACGCTTGAATGGACATTTTCGGTAATTATATATACGTCCTAACCATAGGCAGCCCAATGGCGGGCGACTCGCGTGCCTGACAGTGTTCAGGCAATGTCCCAACATTACTGTTTTCAACTTAGAACGGAATGTATTTCACGTTCTTTCCTTTTCCGATTTTGGTTACGTCCAAGTAAGCAAAACATCCTTCTTAATAAATGTGGAAAACAACCCAGACACACAAAAACGAGGCCCACGGGGCAAGAAAGATCTCAAGCCTCGTGCTCGTGCATGTTATGGCTCATATCCACATTTTTATTGCATGCGTCGAAGAAGAATGTTTTGTATTTCATTTAAGGTGGTCCAAATTGGTGTAAAGAACGATTTCTTATTTAACTTTACTCGGGCCTGCTGTTCGAAAGGCGTTTAATTTAAACGGCGGATAAGTTCAAAATGAAAAACAAAAGTATCTATTTATTGGACAAATGAGCTGAAATATTTCAATGTAAATAGCTTAATTTTTAATAGAAGAACATATACATATTTAATGCATGAGAAGCAAGTTCAGTCAACCACAAGATGTATGAGAGTATTTTTAATTTTTTGCTTATCCATCGTTTAAGCTAAACGCCTTTCGAACAACCGGCCCCTGATTCATAAGAGCTATTCACAGACACCCGCCTGCATTTTCTACCCACCTTCAGGCCTGCTGCTGTTATGCCTTTGGCGAACTTTTTCCTTCGTAGTTGGATAACCTAAAGATTAAGATAGGTACAGATATTCAAAACTTTGAACCAAAATCTTTTTCACAAATTTCTCAGCCTAAAAAAACACCAACAAACGCACCTTCATTTCCTAGTCTTATCTTCTTCAAACCACGTTCTTTAAGAACCTCCTTAGCAACATCTCTGTTTTCAAAATACTTGAAGAATCCATTTAGTTCCGACGAGTAAATAACTGCAATAAACATTTGATAATACATCAACCAGGGATGGATTCACAGGCCCCTTAGCCTAGATCAGGGATATCAATTTAAATTTGGGACAATAATGTACACAAAGATCAATGCCCTTAGTAATCAGTATTTGGCGAAATTTGAAGTTTCGAGTCTTTTCTGAGGCTCTTACGACTTACAATTTGGTTGCACTTTATCATCTGATTTTTATAATAATTTTTCGAATAGACATACGTTCTAATATCCCTAGATAGTAAAATTTAGTTTCGAATATCCAAAGAAGAAAATCGTACTTACTTTGCGTATCTTCCTCTCCGGTACTGGGCGGGTACTCCTCGTCCCAATCAACAACATCATCTTTTGTGAGAATAACAATATGACACTCACGACGACCCATCTAAAGAGGATTAACTTACGAGTTAACCGACACACGAAAAGAGGATTCACAGAACTAATTAGAGTTATTAGACATATTACTGCAATAACAAGAATTTCACACATTGATGAAAAAAGTTACTATAAGGTAACGTAAGGTAATAAGTGAGGTAATCAGTTAAGGTACAGTATTAGGTAAAGTAGTATCAAGCAAAAATTAATGTTTTTGTAGTGGATCATGATTTCAAATGGAACAATCATGACAAAAATCAAGACTTAGACTACTTCCATAAGCAATGTTCTCTTCAGCCTCCCTAGAATTGAAGAGGCGTGGGTGTAGATTCCTGTCAGAGGACCTGGGTTGCATTTTTACAACTTTACCAGTTCTTTGATACTTTTATGGTTTAAACCTATAGGAGTATTGTGTTTGTGATAGCTGATTGCCCATAAATGAACATAATTATGTCTTAACTTTTTTAAAATCAAATAAAATTGGCCACAAAATAAGTGGAGAAAACTGTCAGGCTTCGGGTAATGCAACACACATTACCTTAGCTGCTTGTACCATGAGAGGCAAAATGTCAATTTCTAAATATCTCTTAAATTGATCTCTTGCTCCATCATTGGCCAACTCATTAAGCAAGTCCCCTGTAAAAATCAGAAAAAAATCCTCCTTTATGACAGGTTTTGATAAAATCTTTGAGTTGCAAGAGTGGCAAAATTACAAACTGCATGATCAACAAAGTTCAAATGGTGACAATTACAAACTGCACGGAAATTGATTTTGATGTTTTATTTTTCATTTTTGGCTGCCAGACATGTGATCTGTTCAATTAACATGTGATCTATTAAGTTTTTGGCAATTAGTTAACTCTATTCCAAAGTTCTACATGATAGTTTTCAATTGATGTTAATCCAACTTACTTAAATTATGACACTTTATAACAGATTCATTAAATGGAATTAGCAAGTAATCACAGGCCTCTCTAAGTTCCTGAACTGACACACTTGGTGGGCAGTTAACAATACCAATGCTGTAGTAATCCTGAAAACACAATACATACCATACATTAAAACCTGCTCTATCATGATAACAATAAGATTTACAACATTGTGATGCTTACAGATAAAACAAACTTGAAATTGTAATTAGCATTTAAAAGCAGGTTCCTATGGTTCTTTATACTGCCATATTGTAAATAATAATAATAAAAAAATGAAAATACCCATCAAGCTATTCAATATTATAATTTTTCTAGACAAAATTTTCTACATTGATACTCATACCCATGTATAACCAATTTTGCAATATTCTTACCAAAATTGATTTAAAAACTGTTGATGAGACTCCTTGAGCCACCACAAACTCTCCTTTCTCATTCTTTTTACCATAATCTGTCGATGGTGAAAACATCCTAAAAATAAGAATTAAATGTACTTATATCCCATTATGCATTGCATCCACCATTTAAATACTTTCAGTCAGCAGTCAGCAATGCTGCCCATAAAGTTAAAAGAGAGTATTACTTTTTTTAACAAGTAAAACTGCAATAGACTTTAAAAGCTGCCATCTTGAGAATTTGTATGAGTCACTACTCACTCAAGATCTTGAGATAGACCCTTAAATGTCATATAGAGAGGAAATTTGTTTTGCCTTTTAAAGGCAGATGTTATATAACAACCAGGAGTTGTTAAGGTGTAATATCTGATTATATCTCATATCTCATAATATACAGGGGCTGGACAAAAAAAGTGGTCCCAAAAAAATGTGGCACACCATACATGAAGGTAGTGCCAATAAATATTACATGTATGTAAGGACAGTTTGGGGCAGGTGGGCCAATAAAGAAGGGTTCTTTTCCTTGGAATCCCTACATTGTAAAGCTGCAAGAACCATATTTCAACTACCACATGACATGCTTACCATTGAAGTCATGGCGAAGGTGAAATGACCCCACAAGCTTTGCTTTAATTTGTATTGTGTTTAAATAAAATTTATTGTATTGTGTTGTATGTATGTGTTTGTGCATGTTTCTTTAGTTATAAAAGCCAGATGACAAAAATTGTGATTATAAGCTCCAGATTAATTAAGAGGATAAAATCCATTTGTAGCTCCCTTTTCATGAAAATTCAAGATGGTGGTTTTCAAGCAGATATATATGGAAATTGTGCTTTTACAACACTAAATCACGGAATACAGCACCTTTGAGTGTTTGTATGGTAATGTGTATGTATGCAAAAACCACATAATAAAGAGTTATACCTACAAATACTATGATATATCATCTTATCTACAATTTATTACCCTTAGGCTGACTGTGTTTGGAGAACATTCATTACATTATGCAAGATTTTTGACCATATTATAACAAATAAAATTAAAAAAAATAGTTTTTTAGGCCAGTCTCTATTGTTATTATGTGAATACATAATTCTTTTAATTTAATTTGTTATAATATGGTCAAAAATCTTGCCATAATAACAATACAGACTGGCAATTTAACTTTTAATTTTTAACTGAATTTACTGCTAAAAACCTGCCAATCAATCGTAGGTTTTATGCAGTCTTGTTTTCAAGTTCTCAACATAATGTAATTATTCTTACACCCTATTGCTCTAAATAACAATTTTGACTCACAGAGATAAAAAATTGATTGAAAATAGAAAGGACATGATCATATAATTGCTAACAAGTAACAATACTTTCTTAAGGGGGGCTACTTTTTTTTGTCCACATAATGTAGTTTGGCATATTTATATAAAATGCACAAGTTCTGAATTAAAATTTTGCCAACCCACCGACAGTAATCCCATATCAAACATTGCACCTACATGTAGTATAAACATTAAACAATGCCCTATAATAAAACACATTAATGACATTACAAATTCAACAACCCCGAAAATAAGCACTACCATGAACAACTGATGTGTTAATATATCAACACATCACAAAAGCCTACATACACACCTTGCCAACATTGTGTTTGGCTGAGAATCAAATATATTTCTATCGACAACAAAACGAGTATCATCCACAATCAGTGTCATTTTGCCATCAGAATTGTGCAACTTATTCACGGCATTACCACACTTAGCATGCCTTCCTGGACCATAATACGGTTTCACACTCAAATTCTTAGGTTCATTATTCACCGGCCTAAAATGCTTCGTGACTTTTCCTTCGTTTTTACCACATTCTGAATTATGTACGCCGTTCAAACACACTTGAAATTTTGTCCTTATTCCGAGGCTAAGTTTCTCTACTTCGTCGTCACTTTCTGTAGCCATATTTACGTGGTTTTGTCCCTCTTGAAGGCCGGCCATCCACGGAGGCACAAATTAGAAGAAATTATAGAATTCCAAAGCACAAAATAACTCTTTTTTCACGTATAAATTCGACGAGTATTTTTGTTTTCATCGTCTTTTTGAAAATCTTTGGAGTTCAGATGCGCGAGAGTAAAATTTTGGTCGCATCTGCTGTGTTATGCGATAGCGGCCTCATATTTAGAGAAAATACCACTATTATCTGTGCGGGATCTTTGAGGATCTTTAAGGTTACTGATGACAATCTATTATTATGATAAACTAGTATAAGTAAACTAGTATCCCTTGACATCACGTTTATGGTTATTTTTTATTATTTTTTCTTTACTTTACTATTATTCAAGTGCTCATTATTATATGGCATGACCATCGCTATCTCCACTGAGCTATATAAATAATTATATATCTCACAACCAACTATTACCTTCCTTATCCATCACTATCCCCAGAAGAAGAAAAAACCCACGTGTTTACCAATAACATTTGTAAACATTTTCGAAATGTACTCACAGTCACTGCCTTAACAACAAAAGGTGTTGAACCTAAATCAGAGGTAAAATGCCTTCAATGGTAACATGTTTAACGTGGGTTAGACGAGGAGTAACCAAAGCTCTGCCTGATAAGGTATAGTTACCATTTATGTTATAATTTATAATATTTGCATAAAAACCGTATAGTCTTTTCATGTCAGCACGTTTTGCTACAATTGTGTGGTATACTGGTATTTCTGGAGGCTTTAACGCTGTGCTGTACTGTTTCTGTGATTATGAGAGGAAAAATTAAATTTTTTTTTTCTTTGAGACACTGGTACAACAACCACAATGTGGCTATATAGGGTGACTCACTCACTTTAAACACAGGCCTACACTACAGTTGACTGGCAGTTGTTTACTATTAACAACCCTAGGTGTCAATAATTTGACAGCCAGTAAACATAATGCATAAACACTGTGTTGGAAATGCCACCGAATATTGTACCACCTGATAAATAATATTTGAAGAAATTTTGTACCATGGTTGTGGTGCCAAGTGAATTTGTGATTTTACCATGCACATGCCCAATACATTAAAATGGTCCCACAAGCATCACAGCAATTGGAATACATTAAACTGTAGCTTCAATACACATAAATTCCCACCAAAATCAGAAGCATAATCATGCATAGCATTTCCAGCTTGTCTGATATAGCTTTATGTGAACTGACAACGGAACCTTTAAAATATTGGGTACAGTTGAATGTTATATCTTAATCCTAGCTTATGAAAATATTCTAATATTTATAACTGCTTATATTTAAACCTAAACATTTCCTGGTGAACCACACCGTGAGCATACATGTGTAGATTTACTGTAATGTGTTTTACCAAATGTTGATATTTGGGCATTCTTAATTAAGGTTGAATTAACACAAGAGGAATTAGAAGATTTGATCAAAGAAACTAAGGAAAAAATCAAGTTAGTATTTAAGTTCCAATTATAAAATGTTTAAATTTGTATGGTAAATTAAAATAGAGATGTTCAACAAGGTAATTTTGGAGACTACTGCTGACTGCTCCTCCGGCTTTGTTACCTTTTATGCCTATTGATTCTTATTCTTGTTTGTTCACAGAGAGAGAGAAGGATCTGACTATGATGAAGAACAAATGAATGAGGCCATTTCATCACAACAAGACCCTGATCAGGATGAAGAATTAGATAATTCTGATGTGGAAGACAATGCTGTACTCAAGGAATATGACTTGGATAACTATGATGATGATGGCGAAGGTATTTAAAGTTTGCTATGATTCTTCAGCCATTACTCTTTTGATTTTTTCCCTTTCACCTATATATTTGACCAATCACTCTTTTTTGCTCTCTTCCTTCACTTTTCCATGGTAAATAAATGTTACTTAAGTTTTCCCAGAATACCTACAATTGTTTAGAATGTTGGTACCCTTTGTGATAGTTTTCCACTTGCAGTTTGTGTCCACTTTTATCATTTTTACCTTATCTCTGATTCGTCCTTGGGAATCTCCCTAGGTGTTGTCATGACTGGTGCAGGAATGGCTGGTCTGACTTACTTTGCAAACAATCAGGATGATCCATACATCACCCTGAAAGAAGATGTAAGTGCTGGAGTTAGACAAGATTTTTTTCTCCATAGGGAAACACCAGATAGTACTGGATAGTACAGATCACCTGATAACCCTAATGCATTTCAGAGACAGCAGAAATAACAATATTGTGCCGTTATGACAACTTCATTTTGTTTGCCAAACTTTTTGCTATTGTAGGACGAAGATGAAAAAGAAGATGTTCAAATTAAATCTACAGACAATTTAATTGTTATTGGCAAAGTTGATGAAGAACTTAGTAGCTTGGACATTTATGGTAAAATAAGAAAATACATGTATCCCCCAGGAGTGGCATGCAGCACATGGCAGCACCTACTAACAACTTCCCATCAAATGTGTATAACATCTGTATAAAATAGACAAAAACACTTCTTGACATTTAAATTTGGGCCTTCATTGTTGTCTATTTTAAGAACTTTGTTGGTACCATATTTTAGGTGAAGTTTAATCTCTGTATGAGATCTAAAGTGCCTAAGTGGGTTGCCACCAAACCATGGTACTGTATTCTTTCATTCTAGTTTACAACGAAGAAGATACTGATTTGTATGTTCATCATGATATTTTGTTGGATACATTTCCGTTGGTGTTGGAATGGCTCAACTTTGATATTGGAAATGAAGATAAACAAGGTTATAGCAATTAAATATTTTATGCGAAACACGCGACATGGCTGAATATCCCATACTGTTCTCATTATCAACTGTGCTATAACAACTTCCAAAAACAGACAAAAACTTCTGAACGTTCCGACCTAAGTGCCTTCATCAGTAAAGTTACAGTTGTATTCGCACTATTACAGTAGCTCTTCTGACGATGGCTTTTAGGTCGAAACGTCGATTTCTGTCTGTTTCAAGCGGTTGTTATACCCGTATTTCATGACAAGTTGACTTTAATACATTTATCCTTTTACAGGAAACCTACTTGCCGTCGGTACGATGGAGCCTTTTATTAATATCTGGGACTTGGATGTGATCGACGCAATTGATTCAGCGCTAACACTTGGGGAGAAAAAGAAAAACAAACATAAAAAGGTGAAATAATTTTGAACCGAATTATACTGCGCGGGGTGATAGCGCAACTGGACGAGTTGGGTAAGAAAAACACATTAGCTGGTGTGTTACAATCGGGGCCTCTCAAAGGGGGTAAATGAGCCAATTTGCCTCAGCCCAGGGCGTGCGAGGTTTTGCTTCCGACCCAATTTTTTTTTGCAAAGCCCCGGACGCCAATGGTTTACGATAACAGTATCCTAACTGGTGTGGCTGACGACATTTTAGAAATCAAAGGGTTCTATTGGACATGTAGATGCTGTTTTGGATCTTTCGTGGAACAGAAATGCAAGGTAAGTCATAACTATCATGTCCAAACTGAACAACTACAAGATATAGTTTTTCCGTTAAACTTGGACATAAAATAAGGCAGCGTATTGTGCAATGCCACACGCGGGAGTTTATATTAAGATTATTCTGGTAGTTTGAAAACACAACAGCTTACTTTGACTACTGCACCTACAACAATCAACGTTTGAGATGCATATTTCAGGTATATTGTACCTGAGACACAAAAACGGTTGCTTGAAGTAAGAGCTGTTCTTACCCAAATCGTCGATTCATACCAAACATTCTTTCAATCTTGACAGAAATATACTGTGCAGTGGTTCTGCGGATTCCACAGTCGTCCTTTGGGATTTAGCTGAAGCTAAGGCAGTGCAAGCTCTAACACACCACAATAATAAGGTAAACATTACTGTCATTAGTGTGGTTATAAATTTCAAAGTAATTTCCCGTGTTGCTAGTGAGTACCGGTAACTGCTTTCCAGGTTCAAAGTGTCTGTTGGCATCCTTATGAAGCACAATCATTACTAACTGGATCTTTTGATAAGTAAGTGATTGGGGTGAGACTACAGCTAGCCTACAGCTAAATCAATTAAATAAATTTGTCCTGCACATGTAAAGGTAAAAACACAAAAATTTCAAAACCACGACCTCTACGACCTTATATATTCAATGACTGCTTGAAAATTGTTATCACCAAATAGGGACGATGTAAACGAATCTTATATGTATCGTTCAGTGTCCTTTTCGGCTGTGAAAGTCGAGGTTTGGCAGTTTCGAGTTTTGATCTTTAGAGGGCAATCTCGTCCTTATAAAAAATATTTTGGCTAGTTTAAATTGTGTATTTGAAATTTCAGAACGGCACAAGTCGTAGACTGCAGAAGTCCTGAGGTACAGATAACAAACAACTACTAATGCATATATTGTAACTTATAAGATTGCAAAATACGTTGGTTCTACTCGTAAACGAACGAAAGCTTGAGACACTCATTTTATCACATTAATTTTCCCAACAGGGCAGTTGTAGGTCATGGAAGTTAAAAGGCGAAGTCGAGTGCACAATTTGGAATCATTTTTCGCCATTTTATTTTTTGGTAAAGATTGTAAATCATATTCTCGTTCACGCTGTCATTTATTTCGTTTTTGTCCAACTATTTTTTGTGGTAATACTCCACCAATAAAGATCCATATAATTGATCTACAGACGTACAGTATACTGGATCCATAATAACACTGTGTCAATAAGAGATCTGTCCGTACTGATTTCATGGGGGAACAAAATTTGAGACAGAGCTATATCTACATACAGTAATATAAATGAAGTTTGTTTTTAAGTTCCTGAAAGAGCCTGCCTTTCTTTATCATAATATAATTATATTACTCAAAAATATTTTCATCTTCAAGGCCAGTACAGATAAAGGAAGCATTTTTTGTTGCGACGTTCGAACGAATGATCCAGTTTTTACATTACATGCTCATGACGAAGCGGTCACAGGTACGTTACAAGGTTTTACACAGTACATGTTTATAAATCGAAACGACTAAGTTTCTAATATTCACGTTAAAATTTCTGCAGGAATTGCATTAAGCAGTCAACTGCCAGGGTGTTTGGTGTCTGTTTCGCAAGATAAATTTGTCAAAGTATGGGACATAGAGGTATGTGGGCAATCTGCATGGAAAATATAAAATACATATATAGTTTCTCTTTTTTAACTGAAAGATTTTCGTAATACCAATATTAATGTCTTTCTTGAATAGAACGATAAGCCTTCATTTATAGCTTCTCGGGATATGAAAATGGTGAGTTATGTACAGTACAAGTGATTCGATTAAACTAAAGATTACTAAAGATAGCCAATAATACCGACTTAAATTCCCTTAACTTATATCTTTCTCTTACTAGGGTTCCATACTAAATGTATCACCTTGTCCGGATAGTCCTTATATTTTTACACTGGGCGGTGAGAAACAAGGCCTACAGATATTTGACATTACACAGAGCGCTCCAGGTATTTCAGATCGCAATAAAAGTCTTAACTTTTATAAGAGCTTTTCATAAGAGCTTGTTTTTGACCTTTTTTTACTTCTTTGTATATTAAGCATGGAAGCATTTTGAAAATCGACAATGTTTGGTAAACGTTGCAAATGCGGAACCCGAAGGCGAGGCGATGGTTGCACAAACAAAAGTATGTACTTTGTATAACATTTTATAAAGACTGTTGGTGTATTCGCCACTAATTACTCATTCACATCTTTCAAAAGAAGAAAATCGCAGCAAAGATCGCAAGTGTATACGGGCCTTAAAGCAATAAGGGGTGACCCCTGCTGTATCTCATGCAGTAGATCATTTTGAAACTGATAGAACTATCCAGTATAAAGTTACTGTTTCAATATATGATTTTCTCTCAAGGAGGAGACGAAAGAAACTGGGATAGACGACGATATGGATGTCGAATCAAATACTGTGTCGGCAATGGAGTCACTTAGTTTAAATAAAGACGAAAAGACCAGTTCTGACCGAAAGAAACTTAAAAGGAAAAAGAAAAAACGAAAATAAACTCTAAATTAAACAAGGGATGCAGGCCTACTGGTGGCTAAGAATGTAAACTAACATTACACTGGATAATGAATAATAAACGTTTCTAATATGAATTTCACAAATAATTTTGGGGGCCAGAGGAAAAAAAACTTTTGTGGTTTTTCCCCTAAATGGGTATAAGCCCCCTTGTTTCATACATCTAGCACAGGTCCTCCCTCTGTTATCTATCAAGTTTAAAGATGTTTTTCGATCACTCCATCTTCTCTGCGTGGCTATTCATGCTACATGTTTTTGCAAATTTGTTTTCTCTCATTTTTACGTAATAATATATATTTATCTCTCAAATATAATAATTTACATAATTTTTATATTACAAAACTCTCGCAGTCAGTGTTAAAAAGATGCATCTCGTACAATATTAGTTTTGCCAAGATCTACAATAATTCAATAATATTTCGGTGTATTAAATTTTCCTAATAATAATTGTTCATTTCGTGGACGATCGAATTCACTCAATTGTTATAAAATTCAAATATTTGTGGATTATTTCCATTTTATTACCATTATAGTGGCGTTTGATTATCTGAAATCCGATGGTAAATTCTTCGTTTGTGAATAAAGTCTATTGTTAAATTAATCCATTATTAAACCCATATTTAACCTCCCATTCTCCCCAAAATTTTCATGACCGAGGTTTTCCCGAACGACGACTTGAACAAAAGAACCCCATCCCAATATATATCACGGAATTAACATATCGGAAGTGAAAGGTTAGGATAGATTTACCCCGGATTTGTGATTTAGCCGTGTTACACATCGAACATACATAGGATACCGCCGTTCAGTTAACAGCTGTATACCTGGAATTCCAAACCTGCTATGATATTCCTTTCAACAGTGACGACTCGAGTACGATATTGAATTCAACCAATGAACGAAGTACATCGACCAGGAATTGAATCATGTCTTTATCTCGCAAGAATGAGTTTTGTTCGTACATGTGAGTCGTGACTGGGCATACAGAGATCAGAGGGAACCACTCCTCGAGCAAATGATCCCTAGGGTAAATAAAAAGAATATATTTGTTAGAGGTGGCATATAGTGGCACTTTCGTCATCTGCAAACTAATTTCTTTGCTATAGCTTAAATTTCTGCCTATAAATAAGAAGACTGCTGCTGGTTTGGTACCCAACTTTCATACAGTATTTTATTAAAACATTTCATTAAAAATCTCACTCACCTTGCACCGAGACAAATAAGAGTTTGGAACTAAAATGAATGAAGAGACGGATTAGTTTTGGCAAAATGGACGACCGGGGAAGGAATATAGGTGCAAAGAAAATGAAACGTTATTGTGGATCACGAAAACTCTATCCTGCACCCCGCCGGATAGCAGCTGTTTCAATCGCTCCAAAATTACCCGTTGTTTGGCATAACTTGGATTCTATGACACAACCGCGATAATAATTCGTGAATGTAAAACTTATCAAAGAAAAAACGCAGTATTATCGGGTTACGCATCAAAATGTAAAAAAAAACACAATCACACCTACCTTGCCATCCTTACCGACCGTCTGTGAGGCATCATTAATCTTCTGAACGACTGAACAAAACGATAATTTAGCATGACGCTGTTCTGTCAAAATGAATGATCCTTCTTCGGAATTAAGATACATGTACACTTTTTCTATGATGAATAAAATCAAATTTACATCAAAAATTAGATGAATTAGATGTAATCGCCATCTTGTTCTATAAGGATTAATATAACTTTTTCAATTGATGGAATACGAAAAACTTCAACGAAAGCTGGAACTCGAGGCATTAAAAGACGGGATTTCAAATGGATAATACTTAGCATGGTATATATACTAGCAGAAATCCTCACCAATAAAATCCCAGATGAAAAAGTTCTTTTGAAAGAGTCGCGATGATTTGAAACCACATTGGAAGACCTAGTAGCAAATAAAAATCGTAATCAACATAATTATATTAGCGTCCTTGCACGATTGAAATGGTCTCAATTAATGTTTTCTCCTTTGCTAAGTTTCTTATTTGGAGAAAAATTCCGAATCTTGGGATTTAACTTAACGGCGTTATAGCACAGTCAAACAGCCGTGCTGAGGAATTTTACTATACTAGCATACGATATCATAAAATGTATTTGCTGAAATGTCTACTGACTCAGGAAAAGTGCTTTGCTGTATTGGATAAAATCACATACCTGATCCAATGAATCACAAAGTCCATTTTCACCACAAAGCAAGTACGTCAGGTAACCTCTCTGTATAAAGTTAAAAACGTCCCTTAAACAACTCTAGTTTAACACGATGTTTGCCTTTGTGCAGTAAATACGAATTTGACATTTCACATATATGAAAATCCAAATTTTCACATTTGATGGAAACCAAATAACTGGTAATTGCTTCACACTTGCATTGAGATATCGTTTTCTACTCCACACAAAATCTCTGCAATCCTATGGCTAGTTTCTAACACTTACATACTGACAATGCGTCAAAGAAGCATTTTTAATCGCTATTTTTTCTGCAGGATAATTCAGGTGAGATGTATTCACAATCAAAATACGCAGCATGATAGATGGCACAAGGTATAACAAATCATGATAGTTTGAAACTCATTGTTGCGATCATTTTGACCTAACTCACCTCGCCTGGTTCTTGTCTACAAAAATATTTCACGATGTTATTAACCGCGTTAGCGACGTTTTCCTGAACGACTGGAATACTGTTCCCTAAAATATTCAACAAAACACGAAGATCAATGAGAGGTGGAATGTTTTGCATAAGATTTTATCTTCATACCCGCGTACACAAATGTTGCAAGAGTCGACTGAATGATATATTTTACACGCGTAGCAATAGCTTTGATGAGTTCCGACTAATGTTGTACCAAAGAAGTATTGTATCTTACTTTCAGGGGTTTTTCGAGCGACGACTGGTGATCTTCTTTGAGGTGAATTTGAATTGGAACCTCCACATTCTGAAGTGTAGAAAATGTTTATCATTCTGACACTACTGTAAAAACACTTCAAGATTTTGTTAATTGATACAATATATACACACCTTCGTTATTATTGTTTTGTTTCTGCTGTAATTCTGCCACCAACAATCTTTCTGTACTTCCATCATCATTACTCTTCGCTAACCACCGGCCGCATGGAAACCTACAAATAGACTTATTCGTATCACTTAATGGTCCGCCCAAGGTTAGACTGCGTACCAGGCCTTTCTTCTCCATCGTGAGGCCACGTGCCCCATGAAAACACACGAAACGGATAACAAAGCGCCTGGATGCGAGACAGAAGTGGGCGGCGGTCTGCAGTGGGCACCCATACATAGCACGACTATACACAATAACATATTTTACCGATAAAGATGTCCCGTAATCTCATTTCTAACCAAGACTTGTTCAACAAACCATCCAGGAGCATACCCAGAGCTATCATGACCGATCCGCAATGTTGTTAGCTTGCCAACATTTGGATGCTAAAAAATTATTACGTTCATTTTTTACTGTAATTGACATGATAATTCGCTAAGGCGAATGCTGTTGGATACATACAATATAATTTATCTAATGTTTTTCATATGAATAGAAGTTTTCATTGGTTGAAATTACCTTGATCTATATAGCTACAGCCCAACATTGGGGAGGTTCGGCTCCAGGTTAAAACATTGCTACCGTTTATTGCTCTCACCTGAAAACGAAATTCACATTCTCCCTTGGGTACATCAATGATATTGGTATCTTTTATTTCTCCCGCCAAAATCATCCACACATTTGCTGTAGTCGTGCTGCCGCCAAGCTGCTTGCCTGTTACTATGACAACTTTATACGTGATTGCTGAAAAGATAATAAAATGTCAGGAACTTGCCAAAGGAATGCTATTATCAAGGACCAAAATAAGTCACTATAATAGCATGCGTGAAAATGTACACTGAATACAGGAGAATTAGGTACTTTAATAAGCTGCATCTAACCAATATTGGAATTAGGTTATAATATAATGAGAGGATTATGTACAGTAATCTTTATGGTACTGTCGTCATCTTACGCGCACGAAAAATTTTCTCTTTGGACCCAGTTCCTAACCGCCACCCTTGCCTAGCCGCAAATCACGAAATCCGTAACATAACGATACAACCTCTTTTATTATGGTGACAGAAAGTCATGGTGTATTGTGTATGTTCATGTACGATTTTCACACAATGTGTGTTGTTCTCACCTAAAGTAGTGAAACAATTGGTAAAGCAGAAATAATCCACAGCATTTAACGACAATAAATAGTACAAGAACTGCTCTCTTTCTTCTTCTGTGCGGACAAACGCATAATTCTTGTAGTACTGCCTGAAAAATATAGAAGAATAAATCAACCTTCGCTATTCGCCAAGTTCGGCCTGCTTCACTATTACAGCACAAAAAACACTACACAGCACAAAAAAACACTACCTTAAAATATCTTTATCATTCAACAATGTTTTCAAATGCTTGGACAATGTTTTCTTTTCAAGTGCCAACCTAATAAATAATTTTTTGATGGAGCGAATGTACCGTAGAGACTACCATACCGTTAACAATTCACCAACTACATAAAAAATAAATACGTACCTTACAAAGGCGCGAAGGCACCCGGTGTCAGTCTTAATTTCAGATAAATTTCTCACACTCCTATGAAATATTTAAAATATTAACACTGAAATCTATTGAAAAAACAAGAATCTGACATCAAGTATTGGCATTGTACATATCATATTTAACTTAAAAGTTTACCTTTGTTGTTATATCATTATATTTGGTTATGTAAAATTTGTTTTTTTTACATTTTATGAAACGACTACTTCTCCGATGTTATTTAAATAGTTTAGTTATTAATTGTGGGTTTCCTTATGTGAGCACAACCGGACAGCAGATGGTGGAGAACTCTCAACAATTCTTAAACAAACAATAAGATGGCATATTTTTTATTCCAATGAACAAGAATATAAATAAAATACTGACAAATATTAACCCATTAACTTGACAATATCTTATCGTGCAGTGTTGGGTACGAGGCTGCTGTTTACTTATTAATTATCCATCTTCTGTAATCACTGTCAAATACTTCAATTTGATTGGTTTACAGGAGTGCGATTAATCATTAATCGCACTCTTGGTGAGCTGTAATCGCACTCTTGTTCACAGCCAATGAAATTCAGCATAGCTTTACAAGTAGCCAATCAGCATTCAGGATACAAAATAAGAATTTGTTTTCTTTTGGGGCGCGAAATTTTTAAAAATGGAGGAATTTGACAATGATTTTGAAAATTTTGACCTTTTAAATGATATATTTGCTGAAGAAAATGACCAGAATTTTTGATTACAGAAGATGGATAATTAATAAGTAATAGAACGAATTAAGTCGTGCAATTAATGCCAAATCATACTCGTGCTTAACAAATCAACCTCCCGCTGCGCGGTCGGTTGATTTTGTAATCACTCGTATGATTTTGGCATTAATTGCACTCCTATTCGTTCTATTACCATTATTAATCGCCACTTGGCCCCATTCTTTGTCCCACCAAAGTGTTATATATAGACATTGACAGTTTTTTCAACTGATTTCTTCGCATTACTGCATGACTACAGTAAGATAATGCAGTAGGATAACATGTTAAGGGAATTGGCAAGAGAATGAAATTAACAATATGTCAGTCTAATAACTGGAAGCCATCTGCTGAGCGATAGTTCATAAAGAAACCCAGCTGTTCGTTTAAATTTTAAGATACCTGATAGTAATTAACAAACGACCCTTTTCAACATCGACTAAAGGTGGTATTATGTTTATCTGAGGCAGACCAGAAGAGCTCGATTGTGGATTAAACTCTGACAGCTTAAAAACGGGCAAAGAAGGCGAGGTACAGCGACGATGTCGTTCGTGTCGTTGAACGCGGTTTAATGGGCTCGGAGAAAAACTCCTCTGACGACTAAAAATTACAGAGACCTATTTCTTAATTTTTGTTATAGGGGTAGGAGTGTATTACACTGTGCCTTTTACCTCAGTGACTAGGAGTTGTTCCTACGAACATCTCGGCCAAAAATTTCAGGTTCAAAAGTCATGCATGGGTCGCCTGACGTCCTCTTGAGAGCGGATTTACCACTGTTTTTTTTAATTAATTGCACGTACATGAAGTTGTAAGAGGGTTAATATATTATATTATATTATATTAATCGATTTATTATTAGAGACATTAGAGATTTAAGTTTGTTATGCACGATAAACGTTATTAATTGTTACGTTAATGGCTTGCAAATATATCCAAAAAGTGGTTGACTGAAATATACGTACCATATGGGAAAACTAGCATAGCAGCATTATTCAAATTTGTATATGATATAATCAACAAAATTATATGTGATAGCAAATGTTGAACCTAAGGACTACCCGCTCACCTTACATCGGTCCCCAAAGTCTTCGAAGCCATAGTAACACGACGACCGGCGGGACTTTCCGTCCGTACCCGACTAGGTTCTGGCGAGGTGCTCCGTCGCATGTGTTGTTTTCGTGGAAGGACTGGGGATGATTCAGCACTTCGTGGAACTATAAAAAAGACATTTTTTTCCATACAATGCAGGTAAAAGATGTGCTCCAAAAAAAGCTGAAGAAGTAAGAGCACGTAAGTGCACGTCTTCAGTTTAGAGGGCTGAAATTCATTTCTATAATATGTAGTGGTCTGGACAACTAGACATAGATAAGTGAATATAGTTTACTCTGATGGTATAACAGGACCAATTAGGAATGTTTTTGCAGGTCCTCCAGAGCTTAGAAAAGTTCAGAACCACCGAGCATATCATAAGTATCATAGAAAAGCTAAAAAATTATGGCGTACATGACATGCTACTGAAACTGTCTTCAGAAAGTTCCATGGCGTCTCCATCACAGCTTTCATAGTAAGACAGTAGATGAAACCAAAGCGGAGACTTCGCCTGAAATTGATTTTCAAAGTTAGTATAAGTATAGTTTATAACTTTTAAAGCGTTTGTAGCTTCATCTAAACACGTATGTAAGAGATATTTTTCATTCCAGGTATTTCACTCAGGCAGAGTAAAATGCCTAAATTGCACCTCCATTTTGAGGTCCTTTTCAGGTATTACAATAAATTTATTGTACTGAACCGCGATAGCCTATTTCAGAATGTTACCTATATAGAGCTAACATTCGAGATATCTACAAACTATAGCTTATTGCAGAATATTGTCAGGGTATATATCAATCTTAGTTACCTTCCGTATGTTCAATCCATGTCCCCAGATCCTATCAAGAAGATCACACAAACTTGCAATCAACGTGTTCTCTTCGACGCCTTTGACATCATTATGACCGAGATCTTTTGCTTCCTGACCCATCTTCAACACCAGCATTCTTTTTGTCTGGGTATTTGGGAAAAATAAAGGGGTTTAAAACATTCTAAACCATGCATAATAGCCTACCGGTGCTATCAAATTCCAGTGGGCTAAAGAATAACAAGCTTTTACGTAATAACAAACGTAATTTTTACATGTATTATTACATTAGACTACATTAGACCAGAGTAGCACCATCACAATACTGTTTCACTGGAGTCATATACAATCATTACAGGCAATTTTCATAACTAAAACCTTATTGTGAGATGAGAGCCGTTATCAGACCAGGAATGCGAGTTATTTGAAATAACGTGAACAGGCGTCGACCTGGTGGTCGATTAAACATATTGAGAAGAGAGTCGTTTCTCAATCAATGCCATGCAATAATATTATACAATAATGCTAAGGTACATTCTAAATCAAGCGTTCATTTAAGTGGAAATACCGCCAAGCAATAACTATTCCTTGTTAAAAGGTGATTGAGATCCCCCAATCAATGAGTTTGAGTGCTTTTAGAAGACAGGCGTAAACTTAGTAAAGTAGGACTTTGCTTGTCCTACCTTTGCTTTACACTCAGTCAATAATTGCTGAATAAAACTGATGTGTGCATCAGACGAGTTCAAGCTCATGTCACCGAGTTGAGACTTCGCGCTTCTTGTACTTTTGTTCTCCTGCAGGTATCTCTATTATGAAAATACGAGCCGATAACTTCACAGAGAAGAAGATTACGGTCAAGTGCGTTTTAGAAACAACATGAAATAACTGAGCTATACTTGGGTATACTTTACAGGGCTGTTAAACTATAGAACAGCACAGACAAAAATATCAATATGTATAATAGACATCATGGCTCCCGGTTGGGAGCTACTCAGAGTAGAGTATTTATGTAAAAAACAACAACACCATGAGATTTTCAGCAATAAGTGTGTAGTTTGAAAAATACCTTAAGGCTGACAGCAAGCTTGTCTCGTATTTTCTTCCCGTCCTTAAAAGGGCATAGCAATAGTCATTAGATTATTTTTATAATTTCTATAGTGGTATGTACACATAAGAAAAGTTCCAGTTTGTCAGCTTGGCTATAGGCTATCAAACATTTAAAGTTCTAGCAGGGAGCGCTTTTTCCTCTTCAGGGATAACATCAAGACTACTATAAATGATATACCCTGTTAGGTATCTAAAAGAACAGCTATTTAGCTGACGATGTTAAATCGAAATGAAGAATTCGGGTAGATTCAATGTATACGTTTTCTAAGTTTAAATGAGCAGAGAAACACGTTGAATACCGGACCCTCTAAGGAGAACGCCATGTCCTAGACTGAATATGTAGGTGGGGTGTTGCAAACATTCCCTGGAATTGTTTCACACCCTGAAAAACAATGCACCTATCCCATTGTAGATTTCAAATATGGGTTAGCAAAATAATTTAGGCGTTTCCCACCAGCTTGCCCAGTTATATTGAGTCGTAGAGAAATATTGAAATCATGGTGTACTTCCTTCCCTAAGTTCCCTTCCCATATGGTTAACTAGGGATCCAAGGATGATTCAAAGTTTTGGTGCCCTCACCATACCTGCTTTATGGCGGCGTTAAGTGATATATGCTCTGAGTGTTGCTTCTGCCGATCTCGACGTCGCCAGTTGACTTTCGGCTGACGACGTCTGAAAGATGAAAAGAATTATTAAAGTGTTTAAGGTGCAATACCTGAGGGGTGGATGCAGCTTGGTCGGTCATGGGTAGCTAGTGGGTTGGTGCCAGTTATGGTGTAGGACATGACTGTCATCAGAACTAAAGGCCCTGTTACACGGTTCAATTTTTCTTGCGACTTCCAACGCAATTCTTCTTTTGAAAGATGTATATTTGGGAACAACGAAACTTTTGTGTTCATTACACTTCATGCACTTTTCTTCTGCAAGACTCGTCACTAATTTATATCTTATCACATACTGAGAAATCTAATCTTGAATGGCAACAGAATCTACATATATTTAGCGAAACCAATATGGTATTTACCCGTAATCAACATTATCCAGCACAAAAGCTTCTTCGATCAAATCCGGAAAAATTCCATCACCCATCCCTGAGAAAAGATGTGAATTAAAAAATGGTTGCTGTAGCACAAGCTAGAGTTCCTGCACTGCACTGCACTGCACTGGAGTGCGTAATTTAAGAAGAACATACCTCGCCTTATCTCTACGTCAAGTACATGAGGAACTGGTGCTGTGTGATCAATGGAGTTCGTCCGTTTGGATAAAACTTGTACTGAAAATACAAGAAAGAAGATTTGACATAATCAGTATTACACACATCATCAGTATTTATTTCACCAACATTACTACGTTAATGATGATATACAATAATGAACTCTCTCTCTATATTTGATACACAACAATAAACACCAAATATCACAACCTATCCCTAAGCTGTCACAACCCACCCCTCACCTATTACAACCCACACTCACCTCTCACAACCCACCCCTCACCTATTACAACCCACCCTCCTCACCTCTCACAGCCCACCCCTCGCCTCCCACAATGCACCCCTTGCAACCCACAATGCCTCTTACAACCCACCCCTCGGCTCTCAGAACCCGGCCCCCCACCTCCCCTCCCACCTAATACTTACATGCGGTCCTTACACTCTGACATCTCTCGTACGAATGCGACCTGACATCATTGCCCAACCTGTTATTTATTTGCTCTATCCTCTGATCAAACACAGCTAGTCTCGTGTCGTGATCAGAATCAAACAACTTGTTATCAATAAAAGTTGCAAACATTTGCGTTTCAATGAAGGGAGCCAAAAACGGTAAAAATTGTGGTGGTTGATCCGACAAAAATGCCGCTTTATCAAAATTTTCCATTTGCTCCCGATTTTGAAGCCACTGTTCGATATCTTCATCGTTCTGCGGGTATATAACAAAACTCGCATAATCATAAAATAGCTGAGTAAACCAGTTCAATAAGATTTCACGAATTTCCAGATTAAATTCCAACTCCCGCATTTTCTTAGCATTCAGTCCCTGCACCCCCTCGCTCGCGTCATTCGTGTCCAGTTCAACGTCAACGCTCGGTTTTTCTTTACCATCCAATGGTAAATTTATTTGAATGCCCGTTTTTTGGGCAACTTTTTCCAACGAGGCTAACCTAGGGTTTATTCCTTCACCTGGAGTTAAATTCGAAGCACTTCTACTCGTCTTTAAATGAGTCAAACCAGCCTTAATTACGTCTACTTTCTTAGGTTTTCTAGCGATTAGCCGAGCGTCAGAGTTTTTCTTTTTTGGGATTTGGGAAGGACTTGATCGGCCTGTATTAGGTGATCCATTTGCCTTTTTGCTATATTTTGCTAAAACTTCGGACAATTCCTGGGACAGTTCCTTCTCGTGTGGTAATTCGGGTAACTCGTCCGGAACAGTTAGAACACGGTTGTTTAAATCCAGGCAACATAACGATGACTAAATTGGTTAAGACATAAACATTAAAATATTATAGATTGTTCCGTTCAAAAAAAGGATATGTTCAGAAAGAGAATGATGATAAAAGTAGAAGAATTGCAAGGGTTTGTCAATAAATGTTGTGAAATGCGAACAATATGGCCTTCCAAAGTTTATGAATTTTGCATACTTTTGGGAATGAAATTTTCACCACACTTACAATTACCCTGCGATTTTGGGAGCAATTTCCGTCTTTTAGTAGATGTGAACGAGTGAATTAGGTATCAAGGATCTGCTTGTATTTTATGACAAAATTGAACTCTTCACTCGTTTATAACAATCAAGAGAGGAAAATCGAAGCACAGATTACAAGTGAAAATGAGAGCAGCAGCACAACAATAAATGTTATATTCGACAATTATATATCTCACCTTTGCAGGCAGTAGTGCATCGGTGTCATTGGTATCATTGCAGTACAAACCCATTACAAACGGTACAGGTGCCTCTAGGAAATGCAGAAGCGAAGCTGGAAGTATTGGAACATAAACATGTTGCCATGTGTAAGGGAATATTACCGAGGTTATGGTTTCAGCTACCAACATAAAGGTGTAAAAATCTAGACAAAAAACACGATAGTATGTGAGCCAAAAGACAGTCAATTATTGTCATGCACCCACAGGGATTATTCAATCCACACGATTGTTCTTCATGGTCGTGGCAAAATGACGTCAATATAAAATGTTTGGCGCGAAATTTCAAACGAAAAAATACTTTGTCAGAGCAGAGAATTAACAAAACGTCTAACCCAATGTCGGTTTGTCACCTTTGTTTTATCGAGGGCACTAAAGACTCTTTCTCAAGCATCGCAACGAGTCTCAAGCTCGCTGCGTGTGTCTTCTGGTCTTCATCCAATCAAAATGCTTCTGTGTTTATTTTAATTAGATGCAAGCACTTGCCGCGAGCTCGCGGGTGAGTTTTTACGACGTATGTGTAAATGCGTTTTTTTCAACATTTGTCATGTACCTACTAGTTCACACAGGTGCGAACGGTACAAAAGAAGCATTTACTAGTATAGACTATGCTATTCTACAGGTTAGTCTTTTGAGAAAATATCAAGCAACAGTGACAACAACAATACCAAAACAGTTGCACTCACCAGATCCAATAATTAAAATCTGATGTTCCAGCATGACACAGGAGACCAATTTTAAAAAATCTTTTATGCCAACAATCTCAAGTAAATCTTCCATTGAATAATCAAAGAGTGGCAGCTCATTAGGCCCAGGCCTTTGACACATAACCTCCTCCATAATACAAGTAAATTTCAAATTTCTTCCAGGGGGAGGTAGAGGGACTTCATATATGAGATTATATAGATAACACTCTAAAGGAAAGTTTAAATCTTCTTCATGTAACCCTGCCTGGTAAATTTTGTTCAGACATGCCTTTGCAGCACTTATAAAAGGTAACGGCATAACAAGACATAGACACTTGGAAACCAATAGATTGTGCTTCTCTGAGTTGTATAGTTTGATTTCAGGTGTTGGGCTTGGAGATTTATTATGTAGGTAGGTTTCGAATCCTTCCAAATGGTCCCTATAGGGAATCGCTGAATGGGATCGGGTTTTTGTAGAGCTTAAAGCTAGTTCAGCCATGAACATATCCTGAAGTATTTGCATTGCCTGGCAGATTCCATAGTCTTTGACCTTTTCATAGAATGTTAGGGCAAATCCATGCAAGCGAGAGCCGTCCTCGCGTGTGATGAGAAATGAATGAAATGAAGGTGAGTGGGTTTCAGTGTTGAGCTTAAATTGTAGTCCATTTGGAAGCGATAGCTAGAGAAAGCATGGTCAAGGTTAGAATGTAAAGAGAAAAAAAAGGGGAGGCCAAGGAAATCAGGAACTTGGATCAAGAACATAAATACAGGAAGATTTGAAATTGAATGTGGTGAAATTAATTGAAACTTTGCTAAAAGAGAGGTTATTAGCATTTAGCAACAAACATGGGACTTCTCACTTACCATGCAGACAGCATGTTCATCAAATGGATTCCATGAAACACTCTCAGGATAGTGAGCTAAAGTTTTGGCTTTGTAAGATCTCTCAACTGGAGCTACATGCAATGAGTCACCTGAGAAAAACAGAAACATGGATAGCTCTACAATTATGAGTCCATCTGGCTACAACATCATGATGATGATCTAACATGGTCAGATGACCAAGTTTTATATCCTTAGTCAAAAATTAAGTAATACATATATATGGTTGCATTATTTAGAGTGAACTTCCACTTCAAATTTGGAATTTAAAATACAATGCTGGTGCATTATCTTTTACAAATTAGCAGCAAGCATAATTTATTCTTTCCTACAATCTCACTAACAGCAGCAGCAGGAAGAATTTTATATGGAGATTACCAACCACCCTTCAGCAAAAAATATTTGCTGGTATGCCCACAACTACATTTGGCCTTAGTTGAATCCCCATTGCCACAATGACAACCATAATATCAGTAGAATGCTACCAAATGGGTTAAACACCTCCTCAATTAAACTATATTTAGTTAAGATATTCAGTAGGTTTTTAAATGAAGACTGAATAAAATCATTTTCAATACAATAATAGAAATAATAGTATAGTAATAATAGCATATTAGCTGACCTATATGCCAATTATAGCACAAATTAACAAGGGAGGAAGGGCTTAGTCAAGACATATTACAGCTTGATTACACTTGTCAATGCGTTTAAGCAGCGAAAATTGCAACAACTATTTTGTAGAGACTTAATTAAGACTTCCCTATTGAAGATGGAAAGTTAGATAATTACTCACAGTATGAAAACAAATAAAAACAAAGGAAACATGATGTGGAATTTTTCAACATCGTACCAACTTATATAAACAAAGTTTTGTTTGTGTTATATTTGCGTCCAAGGCTTAGTGCCGAGGCTAGGCTAATAAAATTATTGAGCATAATTCGCAACAATGAAACTTAATGTAACTTAGTAAACCTACTACGAAGCACAAAATGAATCTGGAAATATATCTCAAATATCAGGGCTTAAGAAATGTTTCAAAGCGACTTTAGGCAGCGAAACAGTTGCAAATTTACTACAATTCAAAACACAGCTGAGCATTAATTTTGCGGAAGCCCATGGCAATGAACCCGAACGAAAAGTTGTCCAACTAAACATGCAATTATACATCATAAATGTACGTTTATCAAAGACTATAAGCTATTTTACAAATCCTTTCAAGGAGGCGACCTATATTCATGCTTAAATCATGTTTTTAAGCGATTTCAAACACTAAACACTGCAAATCTATTTTCAAAACATACCTAATAACTGGTCGGGCTCCAATCCAGACACATTATCAAGGCCACATACAACAAAATAATCTATAAGTCTTTGTCCCCCAGTTTGTGCGGACATCGTCACATCTTTTCGTAAAAGCACAAAAATATGTTATGTTTTGTAGATCAATAGATATAAACATGCAGAGACAAATCGGCACTTTAGTTTGTTTTGTCCTCTATATAAATGGTAGTGTTCGGCGAATGAAATGGCGTGAAAATAGCTAGGACTGGGTAATAGAGGGGAAGTTGGGGCATTATAAGGTATACTATATTTATCGTTGGGGCATGCCCCAAACGGATGATGCAGTACAAATCAGTGTTCTGGATATGGCTAAAATGAGTAAAATCTACCGGGTATTCCCCCTTTGGGAATATTATTTTGATTGACTGTGCGCAATACTATAAAATGCAAGCAAGCGTGACATCATGTAGGATGCTTTAAATACGTTCTGTGGTTTGCAGTAAAAATAGACTTTCACTGAGTTTCAAGCAAATTTAGTTTGCTTGATCGCGAAATGGGTAAAAACAGACTAACAGTTAGAACTAGGACTTTTAAGGAAGTGGGGGAATGCTGCACCGGACACAGAAGTGAGACGGACACAGTATGTTCCTTCCTCGTCTGATTCATAATGTTATTTTTAATTTCAACCATATGCGTGGGGGCTAAAAATGGGGGGAGGAGTCGCAGGTCGCAGGGCGAACACGATTTCAGTCAAAATGACCCGACTTATACAACTCATGAGTATAAATTACCCGACTTATCTGATAACCGATTTTAGCAAAATTTCCATGAATTTTTAATAAAAATACTCAATAATAATAAAAATACGTTTAACACGCGATCTCAGACCACGTTTAAAACGCACGATATTTTTACAGTTACGCGTACCGTCCACACGTATCCGGCGTTTTCGCCAACTGAAAACGGAAGAATCTGAAAAGAATTTGAAAACGATGGCTGAGCGGACACGTACGGACGGCTTTGCGGGATAAATTTGGAAACGATGTCATGCTTTTTTCAAGCCTTATAATTGTTATATTATTAACTTAAAATTGCTATATTAGCGTCAAATGAGTCTAATTTAGGTTATTTTCATCATGAGTAAAATCTTCGTCACTGATCTTTTTAGCATTTTCCGAGAACGGAAGTATTTTACGCGAGAAACATGACCAAAATGTCGGAGTATTTGGTTATACACGCGATGGTATTTCATACATTTCCTGCTGCTCTTTTCACTTTATACACCAACAACATTTAGAAGGAGCTTAAGCTCGTCGTCTGCCCAAACAAAGTTTCGGTTTGGTTGATTTTTGTTTTTAATTCATCATTTCACGCGACACGCGGGTGGAAAACACGAAGGTTTTGTGTTTATGTGTGGACGCAGATAAATCCTTTAATTAAAGCCGGTTTTCCACTAGCGATATTTCTCGCGCGAATCGACATTTTACTTTTGTTCCAGAGCTCTCAACTGCAACCATCTGGAACAAATTGCTCAAATACAAAGGAATAAAGTCGCTTCGCGCGAAAAATATCGCTAGTGGAAAACCGGCTTAACGGAGAATTTTTTCGTTTTCAAATTCTTCCAGAATCGTGTGGCCGGGGCCTCAATAACGCCAAAATGCCCGACCCAGTCGACTATAAAGAACAGACAGCCCGACAAATCAACAATTCCACCTATATTCTCGTATACGCATATCAATGTTTGTATTATTGATAAAGAATTCGAACTCTGCCTTTAATTTTGGCATGTTAGCTCTACGGTGACATGTTAATTGCGTCTTAAATGCAGGAGTGTTTGAGCTTAGGTAAAGGACCGGGCGTTCACGAGAGGTCACCATAGTTGACAAGCTTTTAAGGTATGTAAACATTGAAGGTCCAAATCGGGGACAAAGTTTGTCTGAAAATTATTACCTTGGGCAAAATGATTGACACTAAAACCAGTAGCTACAACTATAATTGATTGACTAATGAATGATTGTGAATGACGAAAATTCAGTATTTTTTAATTATTTTTTATTCTGTGACAAAATTAAATTGCTCTTATACCACGTTATTCCTAATCCGTTTATATATTGACTTTTATATATATGACGTCTATATGTTGACTTTTCACCTTTTACAATTTTTTCCTGCATGATATAACTGAACACAAAGTGTAAAAATGCTCCGCCGAGCGTGTTAGAGAGTAGGGAGCTGGGCTAAATCACAGATAAACACACTCCTGCCACGAAAAGTTTTCGATTTTCTATGGCACTGGAAGGCTCTTCCATGCTCTTTAAAAAGAAACTTCAAGACCATAGACAGTGACGGATGATTTTTTATATACAAAATTTAAGCAACAGGATTATCTGGCAGTCACTGAGATTGTTTTTTACTGCAGAGAAACGTGTCACTCTCTGTACGTTTTTGAAATACACGAGGCGAAGACTTGAAAAGCTATTAGAATTTGATGAGATGAATTTCCTTCAAATTTTAGGAAAGTGACCAATTTTGTAAGAATGTTGTTAATGTAAGTCAGGTAGCTATGTAAACATTCCAACATGAGTGGCATCAGCATGGGGTTGAGCGAGCAAACATTTGTTTCTAGCAAATCGGAGCTTAATTTTTTACATTAAACTTAGTAGGTCGAAGATCAGGAACAGTTGTTAGACTAGGAAAGTAATAAACAGCCACGTAATAGCAACTGAGAACGCAATACAGGGAAACATTTTTACTCGGGAGAATCGCGAGACCTCTCATTACCGAGTACATGCAGTCTTTGTTGGTCCTTAATAAGGGTGTCCTTTCGGTTTTTGTTTTCATCATCTCATTTGTGTAGGATGGAGTCGAAGGACTGCTCTAACAACCTCGACAGAGACAGAGTAGTATTAAATTTTCAGTTAGTTTTTTCAGGTTTTAATGCGAAGATTAGCGAAGATATTAGCATGTTTAATCGTCTTTAAGGCTTAGTATGTTCCAATTTTAGATGAGCAAAAAAACTGTTTTGTAAATATCATCAGCGTCACTGCCTCTCTCTTGTGATAAGAAGATCTATTTAACAGTCGTGGACCATGAACCCCATAATTTTCTCTTTAAAAATGGCTTTTAATTATGTCGAGCAACCTTTATTAGCAAAAAACTTCTCTAGATTCCCCTGCTACTACAATAGAGAATTATTTTGCCTTTTGGCCAAAGATCACTGGGAAAAATAAAGTATTTGAAATTTTAATGATAATTATAAAGCCCCGTTTACACTACACTTGAGTCTTCTTTTCTTCTTTAAAAAGGTATAAATACCTGCAGCATAGTATTTATTTTCTTAGAAAAAGCGTCTGCTGGTACACTTGGAATTTAATTTATATATTTTTAAGATAAAAATACAATCAGTAATAAAAGCGTGTAGATCAACTTGTAAGTAAAATACTGTATCGCTGGTCAGGTTTCTCCTTTAATTAAAGTATAACTGATGTGAAATGTTAACGCTAGTCAGCTGTTGTACGGCCCAGTATATAATAATTGTAATTACGTGCTAATTAGGCTAATTACCTTGCATTGTCATTAATTAGGTCAATTAGAACGCTTGACGGCGTTCTCGCCAAACGAAAAAACTGACCGATCAAAAAATGTCTCTGGACATCTCGCCTACCTTTCGTTCCGGGGATTATTTCGCCCCAATGGCGAAACCAAAAAAATCAATACCTATAAGGTATGTATTCTGAGAAATTAATTTGCCTAATAGAAGGGATAAACACTATAAAAAGCATGCAGAGGATACTACACGCGTAAAAATCATCATGTTGATGCAACGGTTGTTAAAAACAGGAGTGAACAATGTTGTGCTGCACCCTGTGAACAGTATTGTTAACGATGTTGTTGAAGCTTGTTGAATCATCAACGTTGTTGCAACTTGTTAAAACAACATTGCATCGTGACTGCATCAACATTGATGATTCAACAAGCTTCAACAACATTGTTAACAATACTGTTCCCAGGGTTCAGCACAACATTGTTCACTCCTGATGTGACAACCTGATCAATTTTTGGCCAATGGATCAATTTGTGAATCTGCAGTCAGCAATTCGTTTTTGTTTTAATCTCTATGGAGCTACGGTACAGATACATACATAAAAATATTACATGGCATCTTTAATTTAGATTTCTTGGTTCCGTATAGATAGTATAAAGCATGATACTTATTTATTGATTTATCGATCCTACTCGTTTTATACAAATACCATGAAGTTAGTACAGAGCTCTTACTTTCAAGAAAGTTAAATCATTCTAGTTTGATTTTGATGCAATTTCCATGGACATCTAGTGCGACGTCTCCCATAGTAAAACGTAGAGCGGAACTGCTGAAAGTATAATAAAGTAAATAAACGATTGCCATCATCCAGAAGCAGTTCACCAACAATACCACTGGCACGATGAAAGATCATTGTTTTAATCATTTTGTCAAAATAGGACACAACGGGAACACTGGGGGTTTCACGCGAAGACGTATGGTGGAATTGGTTTACTGAGATTTGATTCGAAACTTAAAGTGGGAAGAAAAGGACTTTTGGTTAGCCGGGGGCACGACCATACAGGAGGTGGCATTCACAAATTGTAAGTATAAATTGAAACAATAAATAATAGGTTCGTTCTTAGATGTCATCACATCTTATCTAAAATAAAATCGCTTCTCTAAAATGAACAGTAATTTCACGCCAATAAATGTAATTCCTAAAATGTCTGGTGACGTTTGGAACAACCAATGCATCAATTAAGAAGTGATTCCACAACGGAAAATGTCTACCGGTATGTGTAACAGAAGATTTCGGGACACGTTTTCTTTCGTGAGTTTTCAAGGTTTAAATGCCATGTATAAATCGCCCCCTCTCTGAAATGAGAGCTTAAAACAAGAAATATTGTAGCGAGATCTTCAAAGTTGGTGTACGTAGCGTGGACACCCGGTTTGTTTTCAGTTGTTATCTTGCTCGCCAAAGCCTGTTAGCCATACCCTATAGATGTAGCGACAAGGGTTTTGCAAGTCTTCACAGATAATATTATCGAGAATCTGAAGATGACGTCATTCATAAACTTACTAGCCATCCAGTAAAGCAACCTCATCAAGTGACGTCACTAAGCAAGAGTACGTGCAGGCCTGACGATCAACTGTAAGTTTTTCTTTGCTCTTTTATTATTTTTTTCATTTTAAATAGATCTTTCC